GAATATTGAGAAACCAAGTTTAATGAAAAACCATTTTTCATATTCATCCTTTATTTTCTCATTCTTATTTTACATTAAAATGTTTTCAACATACATTTGTTGAAACTTTTTTTTTCAAATTCTATTTATTTTTAAAATATTTTCAACCGCATTAATCGTTAAAAGATTTCATTTTCGTAATTTGAATTATATATATATATATATATATATATATATATATATTAAAAGAACAACCAATAATGTTAAGGTAGATTCATATATCAAAGATAATATTGATTCTTATTAGTTTAATATATAAATGTGATTATCGACTCATTTAGCTAACTTCAATAATTTTAAAAAAGATTATTACGCATGGTGTCAAACACTAGTTTATTAAAATTACGTTATTATTAGAGTAATATTGTTTTTATTAGATAGGTTAAAACCTTGAGAATTCATACTCCACTCCACGTAAGAGGGGAAAAACTGCAAAACGAAAACCTGGATTTTTCGATTCCAACCATTTCTGCTGGAACTCACTCTCAATCCTTCACTCTCTTCCTTTCCAATTACAAACTCAAGGTGATTTTTCATTTCTAAGATCCACATGGTTTCCTTCTATTTGCAGTTTGCAACAACGTACAATAAAATAATCTTTTGAAAGGATTTCCACGATTGATTTTGGTTTATTACTTTGTATCATACATGAACCCCTGTTTTTTTCGAATTCATCTCTGATCTTCGCCCCTTTTCCTCTTTGTTCTCTAATTATCTGAGATTGTGTGTCATTGATCTTTAATTTTGCGTTTTCTATGTGAATTTGTTATCCAATATTTGTAGGGTTTTAACATGTTTAGGGTTTCCTTTTCTTTTCTTCTTCTTCGTATTAAATTGGTTTAGCTCGTTGAAACCTAGTTTTTAAGTATGCTTTCAGATTCATTTTCTACTTGCATGTTTCAGGTGGACAGCTTTCAAGTGCGTTTGTGGGTAAAGTTTCCACCTTTTAGTCTTCTTTGGGGGTTTTAGCTGGTTAAGAACGATAGGTTTTGTGGAGTGTAATTCGATGAATATGCTGTCTATGAAGAGTTTATGTCTCGATGCTGTAGGTTTCTTGTGAAATCCTGAGAAGTGGAGGTGTGATCGATGGAACAGGTTTTGGGTTCGGATTCTGTTCCTTCTGGCCCTATGGATAAGTCTAAGGTTTTGACAGTTAAGCCATTAAGGTGTCTAGTTCCTATTTTCCCATCGCAACGGGATACAACTGCACCCCAGACTTCCCAATTTGCATCTGTCCCTCCAACTGGTCCATTTCCGCCTGGTGCTGCACCATTTTTTCCTTTCTTTGCATCAAATGAGTCTCAAAGGCAAGGCACTGGGGCAAATCAAGGACGATCTTATCCAATTCCATCACCAGTTCCCTTAAATTCCTTTCGGACACCTGCGTCGGCTGCAGGAAATGGTGACATAGGGACATCAAGAAGGAGCTCTAGGAATCGTGTTGCTGCAGATGAGGATGGATATAGTCAAGGTGATGCTTACGAGAACAGCTTTGGCATGTACACTGAAGATGGCAGTGATGTTGTAAAAAAGCGCAAGTCCCGCAAAAAGGCAAAGGGCAGACCAGCAATCGCTGTTTCTCTTTCTGAGGTTGACATAGAATCATTGGTTAATAATCTCTTGAAATCTTTCAATCTTGTGGAAATCGATACGTTTTATCAAGCTAACAGCGACAAGGAGTTGGTCGAACGTGTACTTATTGTTTATAATTTGCTTAGGAGAAAGATTACACAAATTGATGACTCAAAGGAGGCTGTTCCAGGAGTAGCAAGACGCCCAGACTTAAGGTCAGGTACAATCTTGATGAATAAAGGTGCTCGGGCGAATGTCAAAAAGAGGATTGGAACTGTACCTGGTATTGATGTTGGTGACATTTTCTTTTTTCGGATGGAGATGTGCTTGGTGGGATTGCATGCTCCGATTATGGGTGGGATAGATTACTTGACTGTTAAGGTTTCTGCTGATGAAGAGCCAGTGGCTGTTAGTATTGTTTCCTCTGGAGGATATGAAGATGATGGGGACGATGGAGATGTGCTAATTTACAGTGGCCATGGGGGTGTTCAAAGGAAAGATAAACAACAAATGGATCAAAAACTTGAAAGGGGTAACCTTGCCCTAGAGAAAAGTTTGCACCGGGCCAATGAAGTAAGAGTCATTCGTGGTGTTAGGGATTTTGCAAGTCCAACTGGGAAGATATATGTCTATGATGGCCGATACATAATCCACGAGTCTTGGATTGAGAAAGGAAAGTCTGGTTGCAATGTCTTTAAGTACAAATTAGTTAGAGTTGCAGGCCAGCCTGAAGCATATACAGTGTGGAAATCGATTCAGCAATGGAAGGATGGCGTTACTACAAGGGTTGGAGTGATCCTGCCTGATCTTACTTCTGGGGCTGAAAGTTTACCTGTGTGCCTTGTAAACGATGTCGATGATGAAAAGGGGCCTGCTTATTTTACATACCTACCCCATCTCAAGTATACAAAGCCTTTTGCTTCATCCAAATCTTTTTTGAACTGCAGTTGCTCAGATGGATGTGAACCTGCTACCAACTGTCCTTGTGTTCAAAAAAATGGAGGCTATATCCCATACACTGCGCTTGGTATTCTTTTGAGTCATAACTCATTAATTCATGAGTGTGGGCCTGCTTGTTTGTGCCCTCGTACCTGTAGAAACCGAGTTTCTCAAGCAGGTCTCAAAATCCGTTTAGAGGTGTTCAAAACAAAGGATAAAGGTTGGGGACTTCGGTCTTGGGATCCCATCCGTGCAGGAGCTTTTATATGCGAGTATGCAGGTGATGTGATTGATTCTTCAGCAGTAGAGAGTGATGATAATTACATCTTTGATGCCACCCGCTCTTTTGATCAATTGGAATTTGTGCCTATTGATGATCCTGTAAAGGTTCCATTTCCTCTAATTATCAGTGCCAAAAATGGGGGAAACGTGGGTCGTTTTATGAACCATAGTTGTTCACCTAATGTGTATTGGCAGCCAATTTTGCGGGAAAACCATGATCAATCATATCTCCATGTTGGTTTTTATGCAATCAAGCACATCCCCCCTATGCAGGAATTAACATATAGCTATGGAATGGTAAGGACCGACAAAGATGGGCCACGGAGGAAGAAGTGTTTGTGTGGATCATCAAAATGCAGGGGTTACTTCTACTAGCGGCCTACATGAACCTGGTGAGGATGATGTATGTTAATTCTTGTAAAGGTTGGCTTTACCTCCCTTCTATGAATTGTTGTTTTATGTCTCATGTGTTATTTTTGCTCCCGTTCTTGCTGCTCTTGAAATTTATCTGTATCTAGTAGGTAATGTCCTAGCAGTTGTTGATCATTCCCTGAACCACATCATCTGATTCATCCTTGTTCATTTTTTAGAGTATTAGCGTCAGTGATTTAGCTGTACTTGCACTTCTCTTTACTCATTCTAAACTTAAAAAGTTTTCTTCAGATGGATATATGTTTAGTTGCTGCATTTCTGATCCAAGATTCTGAAAATTAACCATATCATATTTGTATCTGATTCTCAGCTTGTCATTGTCGTTTACATTTTCAATTTGGAACTACCACTAGTATAATCGGCAATATAGGAAGGAAAAAAAATTAGACCTAGGTATTTTCTTCTGTTTTTTTGTTGGCATAATGTATACTTATAATACCTTCTTCTGTAATCAGCAACTTACATATCCCATTTTTTCAAGCTTTTGCACATGCAACATGGCTAGTAGCAATCATAGATTTTGTTCATGGTGGCTTAAGCCTTTATGGCCTTATAACTGCTTCACTGTGGAAGTCTCTTGTTCTTTTGGCGGAATAGTCGTCGGCTTACCATTGTGTGGTTGGGTGGAGCTTGGCTGATATGAGTTATAGGCCTGAGCCATAGTTTTGGCTTCATATCTTCCAGAATTAGTCTTCTGCTGCTTGTAGTTATATGGTCTGGTCAAAAGCTGTAGCACCTATCATGTATCCCATTCATCACAAAAGATGCAACATTTGAGTTGACAACTATAAGCAAATACCCAAGATACATTTTAACCTCGCTGACTCACTCACACTCCTCACAATTGGTGAGGCTTGAACCCTTAACCTCGTGGGAGGCTAGGATTTACAAGTAACCGGGATACCGTTGGGCCAATGACCCTTTGGTAGTTAGAGGTAACTTGTGGGCCCAATGAATCTCACTAATGTTTTGTTATGATTGCTTATGGGTCTAATAGGTAAAATATGAAAAATAATTGTTCTGAAAAGGAAACCCTGCATATTTTTGGGCTAGACTAAAATAGGAAGTGTTGTGATTCTTTTTTGTGACTGAAGGAGTATTATTGCATAGGGCTCGAATTAATGGAATGCATGGTATTTGTGTTTCAAGTAATTTGGGACACGTGAGATATCATTTGAATAGAAAGCCAAAAAATTCCATACTTGTTGGTTTAGTAGCTAATCTTCGAAGGTTTTCCATTACTCATGGAAATTATGAATATCCTTCTCCATCATTGCCAAATTCTTTCTCATTGCTAACTCATGATATGCGAAACTGCAAATTCTTTTACAGGTTTCCTTAGTTGTTGGAGAATAGGTCTACAAAGATGTGTTATATGGTAGTACTAGGGTTAAAAGTTTGTGTTTTTTGCACCACCATAGTGAGAGGAGCAAGTAGTTAAAATTGAATTGGGTGATAGTACCTTTGAATGGTGGCTATTATACACATATATGAATATATGGGTGGATCTTGGAGCATAAGGTTACTCTTCTCTGACAGGAAGCCATGGATTTTAAAAACCTCAAGATATGGGGATGCATTTGCATATCTATCTATAATTCTATATAAATATAATATATGAAACCCGTAAAAAATGAAGTTACTTCATGATCCATATTAGTCCATACCATAAAAAAATAACTTTCTTAAATCCTCTCGTCTTTCTCTTGGGATGTCATAAAACTTAAAGTTTGTTCTTTATTTTGAGTTTTCTAACTTGTTGATTTTTGTTCCTTTATATGTAAAAGGAAGACTAAAATTGCCTCTTTCAGTTCATAATTTCGGGATACAGTCATACCATAATGAGTTGGTGAAAACAGAGACCTTAGATCGCAAGATATATGGTGCCAATAATGATGTGAAAGTTCTGTTTGTTACATCAAGTCAGGTCATTTATCTAATAGTATTGTATGATAACAATAATGCAAGTTAGGCATGCTATGAACGAGAAAGCCGTGATTTAGTTTCAAATTCTTATTGAATTTTGGCTTTGTTTGTCGCCTTCTTGTATACGATTTTCACGTATATAATCATTACATATCCGTGTTATTGCCACCCCTGGCTTCCTACACATCCCAACTGAACCTCTAGTTGATCATACATTCCCATCCAATAGTTATTTCTCTGTAAATGACAATCCTTATGTTTCTCTTAGAATATATACACGTTTTTAAATATTTTATACTATTTCGACAAGGGGTTACTGTGCTGCTGCTGGAGCTATTGGTAAGATTGGTTATGTGTTATAGGAAGTTCACATGTTTGAATAACTGAAATGGTCTTTTTGCAAAGCTGAGGAGCCTTTTTTTTATAACCAGTGTGTGTCCGGACCAGACCAGCTTGTATGTACCTCGACTAATCCCCTGAGGTCCTGAAGTTAACAGTCAACAAAACCTCGAAGTGGGCCCCGAGGGGACTCTAACTGGTGACAAATGGGAAGCAAACTTAAAGACTTTACTAGTTTTTTTTTTTTTTTTTTCCGTTAATTGTGGGTGTCTAGGCAAGCTTGGGCGTACCTCGACTAATCCCATTTGTCATGAAGTTAACAGATGGGGAAACCCCTAGTGGCCCTAAGGAAACTCCACCAATGGGAAGCAAACCCAAGACTTGTCTAGTTGGTGTTTTTTGTTCACAAAGGTGTCTAGGTCAATTTGCATATGCCTCGACTAATCCCATGGGACCTAAAGATAACAGTCATTTTTGGTGTAGAAAGTCTCAAATTCAGGATCTTCCGCAGCACAAATTTCCTGAGAAACGAAGTCATATGCATGTAGGTTCACTACTCCGAGAGCACTCATCCATAAACCAGTTACTGGTTTAAATAACAGAGAGAAATTTAACCAACATTTGTGGGAAAAAGTAGCATTTAAATTCCTCCGTATCTATGGTTGGTTGGTTGGTTGATAAAACTTGTGAATCTGAGCATGCTCTTTTTCTTCCTTTTGCAGGTGATGGTGATTAGAAGTAGAAGGTTTGTAGTTTGTAGAGCAAGTGAAGTTGTTTGTGGGTGTTCAGAAGTATGATTATCACTTGGACTATAACTTAGATTATTTTGTGGTTAGCATGTTAATGTGCTACTTAGTAGTATGTAAACCATAAGGATGGTTTGTTGTGTACCCCAACTTTTATACATATCCTTGCACCATAAATGGATACTTAGGATTTTGTTAAATCCAGTTGTGCATTATTGAATGTTGACATTCTTTGCATAAAATGGTAACCAACTTTAATTTGATTTGATTTGATTTGATTTGATTCATATTTTTTCAAATATTCGTTTTGATATTTCAGATGTGATATCTTAGATATAATAAGATCAGAGTGAGTATGTTGCATTTTGAAATGTAAGTTGAGCAGATAAATATTTGAGATGTCACATATGAAATATAGTTTTCAAAATAGGATTGGAAGTTGATATAAAATTTAGTAGAGTAAATCTTGTGATTATGCTAAACTGTATAACAATAAACAAACGTAATTGAATTTGATACCCATATCAATCCTCACTTTGATCTAACATTTTGGTTATGTAAGTAGTTGTATATATTTTATCAGCAAATTTATTCCTTCACTTAGATTTAGATACTAATTATGAAAAAAGATACACTTCATAAGTTTATTGTTTATTTAATCGTAGGGAATATGATACTTAACGAATTTGATATAAAAATGTTACCATTTATTATATGATCGTCAAAAAATCAGATACAAGATCTTTGAAATGATTTACTGTTAAACCCTACATTGATACTAAGAACAACGATTAAACAATTAACACATCAATGATTTCAAGCAGTCGACTATATATTAATGAAACGTGAATTACAGAGAAAGGACAATGTAGGGCTACAATGATATGTCAATGATTAGTCTAACCTAATACTAGAAAACATGAAGCATATTTATACTTTGAAAGGTATTTACATATTTATCCCTTCTACTTTATTGCAACTCAAAATATAAGTCTAACAATCTCCCCTTTGTATTAAAGCAACATCAAGTGAATCTTCTTCTCGGGCAGAGGCCAAAATATGTTTCAAACCGTCTAAGCATCCTCCGATACTCCAGCTTTTCGGGAATTTGATCTCAGGTAGTAGTCATCAGGCTTTTATCACGATGATCGAACTTATCAAGACCTCTTCCTTCTAAATCGAGCTTGTTTGATAAGCTTTAGAATGTCGTCTAAATATGCCACAAGATATTTGAATCTCATAAATTGCTTTTCTCCGATATTATTTGAGTACACAATCCTAAACTCAGGCCGCTTTATAATCATGAACAATGACAGGGATTCAATATCTTGCAGACTCTGATTTGGCTTTAACAAGTTCACCTTCCTTTGATTGCTTTCAATACCCATTTGTAGATCAATCACGTACCCCAACTTGATCTGTCTATGCATGATACGCTTGATAGCTTCGAGAGCTATTTGGACATTTTTCAGTTTGATCATCCATATACGGAGCTTCAGGTACATGGCCTCGAAATCATCAAAAGATAGGTGTTTGAAGTCAGCTTCCGAGAACTTCTATTCTTTAGCATCTCTTCTCAGCAGAATGAAATCTGGAAATCTAACGTTCACGAGTCTTTTAGTATAAATCGCCTTGATGCCCACGATCTTACCATCTCAGGTGGTTGAGCCTTCGCCTTGAGCATGTGCATATACTCAATCACTTGCAGATTGTTGAGGTGAGTGATTCTGAGAACTCTGACCGGGTCCAAATATTTAATTCTTCTGACGAAGATCTTCTTTTTGGTTTTTTCAAGGAAAGGGACCCTGATCCTCGTTCATGCTGAGTCGGTTGAGTCGGTTCATGCTGGATATAGGTATTTGGATTGTTTGGGAGTCATCAGGACCTGTAGTTCTTTATCTTTTCTCCTCCTCATGATGATCGGGGTTGTCGTCTTCGTCACCATGTCTTTTCTTTGAACTACCAGCCTGTGACTCGCAGATGTCCTCTAGGATTCTCATCCTTTCAGACAAAGACTGGACAGAAGACTAGATTGCTGCTGTCAATGAGCTGATTTATGCAGATACACTTTGGAAACTCGTGCGGACTTCATCTTGGAATGCAACAAATTCAGTTGTTGAGACAAATTCAGGTGTTGAGACAAATTCAGGTTGTGTTTGAGCCCTGAGCATGCCAATTAGATCAGCTTCAACCTGTCCTCCTTCATCTGCCTAAGACAACAACTTGGCGTAAATAATTGATTTGAGCTCTTCGACTAAGCAGTCTGCTGGTTGTCTCTGAGGCTCTGGAGTAGGTTGTCTCTACGGTGTGGGAGTCACATGCTCTATTAATGATTTGCCTTTGAGAAGTCTCTGCAACTCGTTTACCTGGGTGTTCATTGATGACTGAACAACTTCTAAGGCACCGACCAATATTTGTGTCGCAATCTTGAGTGATATAACACCAGGAGCACTAAGCTTACCTATTGACACAATAGTTAAATCAACTGTGTGACCTACATTTAGTGTTGGCATTATGGTAACACTAGTAGGATTTCCATCCGATCCTCGTGAATTATGTTTCGCAGCTAGATCTATAAGAGTTTAGAGGTGATCAGTTTGTAGAGGGGGGGGGATGAATACAAACGCAATAACTTTCACTTTTAAAAATATATATTGATTAAGAAAGATCAATACAGCTTTTTACAGATTGTTTGCAGAATAAACAAGGTAAAGAAAAAACCTATCTAAAACAATCTAGATATACACACAGATACACTTAATGGTAGCCTTCTTAGCCTTGAGCTCATAATAACTTGCTCATGCTTAGCTATGGCTTGTTCACGCTCGATACTGATGGTTTGGTTATAATGACCTGATCCTTGAGATCTTCCTCGATCTTGGTCAGCTTCTTGATATTAGAATGACATATCCTCAACTGTTCTTGAAAATCAAGATTAAGCATTTCTGCTTTGGATTTGTCATTCAGGGCATTGTAAAGATCAACCGTCAGCGTATCTAACGCTAATAGGCTATCAGGGACAGAAGAAGAAGAAGAGGGTTCATCCAGGGAACATACCTGAGCAATATTAGATGATAAGGGATCACAAGAGGATGATGTCTCAGAAGGTTCTTCCTTGACATCCTTGGCCATAAGACAGAGGTAGGTCGTGTCTTCCTTATCAGAGGATGATTCATCAGAAGAATCAGCCAAGTCATGTTCTTTAGCGACAAGACCTTTTTCCCTTATGTTGAGAACTCTTCATCTTTCTATACTTCTCCTTCAGCTTTTCATATTTGTCATCTTTAGGCTTGAAGGAGGATGGGGTTTTGGAAGATGACATCACAGTTTTCTTTAACCTGCATTCCCTGGCAAAATGACCTTTGCGCTGATAGTTGTAGCAGATCGCTGAAGCCTTGTCAATGGGATTTGACTTTGGTTATCCGAGATGGTCAGCGAGGGAGATCTGCGGAAATTTCTTTTTCTGGCGAACCTTCTAAAAGATATGGTTAGAAAGTCTAGTGACTCATCAAACTCTGCAAGATCAGAATCTGACAAGTCCTCAGAGTTAGTAGGGTCTAACTCAGTTAAAGAAAAAGAAGAAACAAGAGGGTTGGAAGAAGAATAAGATGGGAGATCAGCTGAAGAATCCCTCGAGATCAAAGCTAACAGAGTGCTTTTCATTTATCTAGAATTGTTAATGAGATTCCTTTTCAGCTGACAGGACTGCTCATGATTAAACAATATCCCAAAAAGAGAACTAAGAGAGAGAGAGAGAGAGGACATATCATTGGACATCTTGAGACACATAGAATAAGTATCCCATGATTTTGGCAAGCATTCCAAAAACTTTGTTAGTGTCTCGGAGTTGGAATATTCTCTTACAACTGTCCTCAAGTCGATAAGGAGACAGTTAAAGCGCTGATGTACTTCAGACAACGATTCATTCTTTCCACAAAGAAAGCTTTCATATCGTCTTACTAAATTTATTTTCCTCGACCCTTGTACTTGAGAAGTACCTTCATATTGAACACAAAGTGTGTCCCACATAGTTTTTGAGGTTCTTAGCTTCATCACATAGTGATAAACCTCATCGAGAAGAGATATGGCTATTAATGAACTCGCATGAGTGTCTATAGCCACTTTCTTCTTATCTTCGCTCCATTTATGAGGAAGCTTTAGAATCTGACGTTCAGGAATCGCGGCAGTCGATTTCAGGAACTGCCAAAGATATAACACATGGAACATAGGGTCCATTTTTTATATAGTGTGGAATTTCAAGATCCACACCTTCCAAGAGAGAGACATTCGATTCTTCCAGAGACTGAAGTTGTCTCTAATGAATCGGGGAGGTTTGGCAAGAGAGCCACTGTCATGGAAGTTGGTGCTGGTATTTTGTAAAGCCATTTGAAAAGCAATAAATTATCTGAAGAAGAAGAGAAAATAAAATGCTGATAAATAGCAAACAATACAAAAAGCAAGGCCTGCTCTGATACCAGTTGATGGTCCTAGCTAAATATACAAGAGTTTAGAGATGATCATTTTGTAGAAGGGGGGGGGGATGAATACAAATGCAGTAACTTTAACTTTAAAAAATATATATATTGATAAAGAAAGATCAATACAAATTTTTATAGATTGTTTGCGGAATAGACAAGGTAAAGAAAAATCTATCTAAAACAATATAGAAATATATATATACAGATACACTTAGCAAATATAAGAGATTTGCCGAGAGAGATAAGACTAGAAGTATGTTATTCTTGGGTATGCTTCTTAGAATTAGAGAGAGGAATTCTAATTGCTTGTATCACATAGTGCATGAGTAGAGAAAGCACTTAACTATTTATACTCACTGTATTAAATGTAAATCAGAAGAGGCAGAACATGCGTCAAGCTTTTAGAGGAAAGCTTGTCCTTTGCTACAGTGAAAAATACTTTTGTCTATTCATGAGCAGACATCCTTTCATAGAGTTGGTGAGCACTAGAGTCGACTAATCGGCTCCGTGCTGTACTATACTCTTGAGAGGGTATGAGTTTGTCCTTTGTGTATGGAAGGACAAGACAAAAACAATCGTGCATGACAAACTTCATTTGATCGCTGAATGTTGGAATAATGCTGGAGGTCTCTTCAGCATTCACTGAGGCTTGTGTAGTCTTCACACATATGTTGACCATGTTGTAATCACTAAATACCGCTTCAGATCACGAACGCACTTGT